ATGTTGGTTTCTGCAGTTTTCTGGTTGTGCTTTACACAACTAACGCAAATGAGTGCTTCGTCTACAACTACTGAAGTATCTCTGGATGAAGGACGGATTTTAGTTTCGTGGACCTATGATGAAGAGGCTGACAAATTGAGTTTTACAGTGAACGCCACTACAGTTGGTTGGGTCGGATTTGGGTTCGCTCGTTTAGCACCAAATAAGATGCAAGATTATGACCTTATTCTTGCTGGGTACAAAGAAGGCCATGGATATATCTATGTGAGTTATGAAGTTTCTAGTTACAGAGTTGTTTTAAGAATCGTTTTATCTTTAAACTTTCAGTGTTTTTTGTTTCGCTGAATGGGTCAAGGTTTCATAGTGCGGGTTTTTCCACACGAGATGCTCGTTTGATTCTAGTCGTACCCAAATTTATGCTTTTCTCGCGTCCGCGCTTTCAAAAATCCTTTTTAAATATTCTTATCTTGGACTTGTCCGAAGTAAGACTTTCTTTGAACTCTTTAAAGTATTAAGCTTTTTATCGCAGCTAAATAACTTTCTAGTAAAGATTTCAGTTTCTTTGGTTTTCTCCAAAGTGCATGTATCTGAATAACTGCTTGCGTGCGTATAGCTTTTGTCCTTGAATGCGATGATTTGCTGTTACGTTCAAATACCAGAGGCTAGACGCTCTTTAGTGTACTCTTTGCAGTATGTTGAATTCTCACCGCAAACTATCTTCAGACCCGAACTGTAACTTAAACCGAAGCTACACCAAAAACATTCTTCAGGCGCTGATACAGTCCCTTTTATGTTTTCTTGAAAGAAGTATAAGTATCCCTTACCAAATCCAACACTGTTTTGAATGTATTTTTAAGCTATTTTTGAAAACTGTTTTTAACCTGTTTTGTGAAATAGGTTTTAAATAGGGTAAAAAGTGTATTTTTAATGTATTTTTCGACTGCTTTTAAAGGTGTTTTAACCTGTTTAAAACGCTATTAAAAAAGAATTTTTAAAGTATTTTAAAATGCTTTTAAAATATATAAAAAATTCCAGGGCTTTTGCAAGGCTCAAAACAGGTCAAAAACAGTTTTTAAATACCTTATAAATCGGAATAAAAACAGGATAAAAACAGTTTCAAAAACATATTTTAATTTACTATACTATTTTAAAACTATTTTTAATGGCAATTTTAAACGTATTTTGAAAAAAACAGGTTTAAAATAGGTACAAAAATATATTTTTGATATATTTTTCGACTGATTTTAAAGGTGTTTTAACCTGTTTAAAACGCTATTAAAATGCTATGCTTCAAAATATATTTTAATAGCTGTTTAATCGGTTTCGAAATTTAGTAAAATACTCGTATTTGCAAATACAATAAAAATACTTTGAAAACAGTATTAAAATACCACAGAAGAAGAAAAGCAATAGCACACATATATTATGAATTAAATACCTCAAAAATAGGATGCAAAAATGCAAAAACAGTATAAAATTGTAAGAACATAGCCTTAGAGTTGTCTGAAAACAGTATAAAAATCGGTCGAAAGAGCATAAAAATAGTACAAAAAACAGGATGGAAATACCATTTAAATTCATGAAATAAAATGAATACAAAACCGTCGAAAATTACCCTGAAAAAGCAAAGATTTACCTCGGCGAAATTTCTCCACACAGTCCTAGGCTAGGACTTCAAGAGAATTATCTCTTAGCCGATTACTTTACGTTGATTTCCCTAAGAATTCTCGGGAAATTCTTATGGAATTTTTCAGAAATGCTCAAATCAATCTTTAGCCTGTGTACAGACCCCTTCCCTCAATAAAACTCGGAGGGAGGGGTGGGGGGTATGTACACAGGCTATCAACCTTGGCTTCAAAAGGGTATAACGTTACTGACGTTACCGGTAAATATTAATCTACATGCATGTAACTTACATTGTTTATTATATTCACGGCTTTACTCAAATATCATCAGAAGTTTAATGCAGGCTACGCCTGAACATTAATTAGTGGCTGATAAAGAACAGCATACGAATAAATTTACGCGAGAATGAAAGAGGCCGGTGACGTGACATCAAGTGACTGAGATCATTTATACAAAACAGCGAGTCTCTGCAAGGAATCCTGTAAAAAGTAAAATTGCCGTACGGGCGCGACTATATAAATGTTTACTACCCTTCATTTGTTTCTCATATGGCGTATATCTAAACGTCTTAGTAACATTGTATATTTAATACTTACAATTAGACTGTTGGACTCTTCTCCTGAACCAGAACCTTTCAAAGTACATAACAGTCGCTGAGGAGTCATAACCATTTTTGATTCGTGATAAAAGCAACATCTACGTGTTCCGACAATCCGCAGAGTTGGAGTGTACTTTTGTAAGATCGTAACAAACAGTAAAATCAAGCGCATTTAAGCTCACAGCAACCGCCCGGGAGCAACCGCCGGTTCAATAATTTGAAATGAGCAAAGGACAAAGGACGGTTTGCTTATCACGTGCATTTGTCACATCACCGCGGCGCGAAGTCGTGATTTCAGTCGCGCGTGACATCTCAAAAATAATATGCCATGCATGTGCGGAATAGTCTATGAGAGAAAGATAACCATATGTCGGAGTTTATTCAGATCTGAGCGTTGTTTCTTAGTGCAATATATACGAGGTGAGATCTTAGCTTGGATAGTTTGTTTTAATTATTATGAAATTTCAAGGACTTATTTTAGACAAATCTCAATTGACCGCGTGCATCCGGTTCTCGGCCCGCGGCTTCGGCTGTTTGCGAAAAATTTCTACATGAAAATTAAAATGTGATGTTAAGAATTTTCTTTTAAAAAAACTTATGGAATGTCCCGTAGCTGCATTAATTGAATTACGGCTAAAATCTAGGCGGAGATTTTCGCAGAGAGCTTGCAGGTAAGGAACATTGAGGAACGGATTGATCCTTTATCGGCACACTGTCACAGTTACGTGTTGTCAGTCAAAGCTAAAATCTATTCCTAATTTTCTTCTCTTTTTTCAATTTCTTTTTGATTTGCTGGGAGATTTAATTTTTGGCTCCGCCTCGAGCTTTATTGAGAGAAGAATCCGGTCCACAATATGACAGCTTGTTTTGAGTCATTTATGAGTTCGTGACACGATGAAGGCTTAAAAATTAACTTTGTGCAATTGTTACTTTTATAGTCTGAGTATAAGTATCCCAAAATACATTACAATATTGCACCTCAATAATAATAAGTAATAAGTACCCTATTTTAAAGTATTTAAAATAAGGTCAGCATTTGATGTCTTTCAGCAGACTTTAAATATTTCATGTACAATCTGTTTTTATAGTCAGAGTGTTGTGTGCCCAAAATACAATTCAAATAGACCTCAAAACAGTGTTTAAGTACCCTATTTAAGAGTATTTGAAATGCGGTCAGTAGTTAAGGACTTAAAACATATTTCAAATAGTCTATTTGAACTCTGTTTGTAACTTTGTGAGTGGATGCGTCTCAAAATACATTTTCGATACAACTCAAAACAGTGTTAAAGTACCCTATTTAAAAGTATTTAAGATACGGTCAGCATTTAGGCTCTCAAAACATATTTTAAATAGTCTATTTGAATTATGTTTGTAACTTTGTGAGTGGATGCGCCTCAAAATACATTGTAGATGCAACTCAAAACAGTGTTAAAGCACCCTATTTAAAAGTATTTAAAAAACAGTCGCATTTAAGCCCTTAAAACATATTTCAAATAGTCTATTTGAACTCTGTTTGTAACAGTGTTAGTGGTTCTATGCCCAAAATACATTTGAAATACCCTATTTTATTCATATTTATTAAACAAAATACATTGTAAATTGATGAGAGAGGTTTTCCTTTTGATGAAATATAATTTAACTACACTTAAGATATATTCCAAACAGGGGCGAAAATTTAAATTTTTTTGTCAAATAGGATTAAAATACGGGAAAATAGTATTCAAATACTGAAAATACATTTTAAACACTTTAAAATCAGTTTCAAAATACATATGGTTTGGTAAGGGATAAGAGTCCTTAGACTGAAGCGCGAGGTCCCATAGTTCCTTCCTTATTTATTATTTGAAGCTTAACAGTTTATGAGACTGTACGGCTTTCTTAAAGTCATATTCGTCCACAAAACGTGGTGTACATGCGTCGTTTCCCTATTGCTTCAGTTTTCTTTACCTAATCAGCGTAACCTCATTTTACATCGCCGATGAAGTTCCAAAGCGATTAGAACAAAATATTCTATTTGTTTGAAATTGCCTTGCTCTTAATTTTGGAATTTTTTTCTGAAATCAGCTAAATCTAATAATTAAATGCCTTCGCTAGAACAAATTAAAAACCTTCTTAGCAATGCTTCATAATGAACGATTATATTCTCAGAGCGCTAAAAACACCATTGATACATGTCATGAGCCTGGCTTTTTCCCAGACAGTTTGCGGAACAAGTCATGCATATCATTGATCGATTAATCAATACCAGCAGTATCCGTTTCTATAGCAAAACTTTCAATCGTTTTAGCTTTACAATGTACGAAAATTACGCTAAAGCGATAAAAAAGGAAACAGTTTGGAAACTGCCACATTTTCCTTAAACATGAATGTATTCAAGGTGAAAGTCAGTCAGGTGTACCGTATTTAAGAATATGACAAATTTCGTTAAAGGGGCTATGTCAGCTAGAGAGCATGCGCTCTGAGGTTATGCAAATTACTTTCAACTGTCAAACTTCTATTGTTCTTAACGCGTGACTTTCTCCATGTGCGCTCTGAGGTTATGCAAATTACTTTCAACTGTCAAAATTCTATTGCTTTTAACGCGTGACTTTCTCCATGTTCTCTGTCACGTCCAAGGCTCCGAATTTAGAGAGGTTAACAAGCGAAATGGGTTTAGATAAGGGATATTTCGATAGAATTTACGGAACGTTTCTTCTCTGGTTATGCTAGATCAAGAATAAAATTGTGACGCCAATTTTACTTGTAGTTTTGAAGAAAAAACGCATGCCATTCATAAAATAGAGCGCAAACAAAAATTCAACAAGAACATATTGTCTTATTCAACAAAATAAATCGAAGTTGTATTGTACAAACGAGCCACAAAAGACGCTATACCGAAGATAAGACCACGACTGTTTTAAATCATTAACAATTAGACTTGTCTGTTGCTAGTGATTTTATAATTTAGATGCTGATAGAACAAGAGACATCAAGTCTTTGTTTTGATCTTAGGGAAACATACATTATCGCGCAAAATTGTTCGATCCTGCCGAATCACTGCGGCGTGGCGAAAAACTGAACCAAGCATCATTGGTATACTATACTCCACTATAAGCAGTCCGTTGATAAAAAGGGAAAGTAAACTCTGCTATTTTCCAAAAATATGCTCGAACACAAACAGTTCAAAAACATGGCATTTATACATGATCTAACTCGTACTAAGCTGCCTCTCTAAGTCCGTTGAGAACAATCTGGACGAGCAAACGGTACAATACAATACAACACAATAACTTTATTTAAAGAGGGAAGCACAATAACCTGTTACAGTTTTCTAACCTACGGCCCTCAAAAAAATAGATAAATAGATAAATAAATTTAGAAGACTAAAAACAAATAAATTTATAAATATATATATATATATATATATATATATATATATATATATATATATATATATATATATATATATATATATATATATATATATATATATATATATATATATATATATATATATATATATATATATATATATATATATATATATATATATATATATATATATATATATATATATACACAAAAGAGACAATATTTAAAGTAGAATAGGCTATAAACACGTAATGAATAATATATAAATCGACGAAGGGGGGGCAAAATATGTACTATAAATGAACATGTATACATATATACATAAACATAAATTAAAAGACGTAATAGTGGTTGTAGTAGGACTATGAAAAACAGTGACAATGAATAGAATAGGGGCAAGTCGAGCACAGTAGATCCTCCAAGTGCTCGGCCGATGATAGGCGTGAGAAAAACAGATTTCGTAATTCAGACTTAAGAGAGGAGGGAAGAAATTTAAATATCAGTGGAGAAGAAGAAATAGAAAACTCTTTTAAGTCGGAACTGAGGTCATTAAAAAGTTTAGTAGCAGTATAGGCCAAGGTGCGTTTCCCAGAGTTGCTATGTGGGCATGGCACCTTTAAGTCGTAGAGAGAGGCTCTTGTAAAACGGCCCAGAGGTCCACGCGAATCACAAAGAAATTGAAATCTGTTCCTGAGACATTTAGGAGCATTCGGATTAAGGACTACGATGAAAAGAAGAAAAAGTTTCCTGTATTTAATAAGATCAAAAACGGGAATCCAGTTAAGTTTTAAAAACAAAGAAATAGAAGCCTGAGAGAGGTCGGCATCAAGGAGTATACGCCCAGCACGCTTCTGAAGACGAAGCAGTCGTAAGAGGAGATGGTGGGAACAGTTACCCCAGGCAGTAGAACAATAAATAAAGTAGTTGTTAACACAAGAATTATAGAATCTTGAAGCAGAATCAAAGTTAAGAAAAGGTTTGATGCGACGGAGAAGAGAAAGCCTACTGCTAACGATGCAGCAGATTGTATCGATATGATGCTCCCAAGACATGTCACTGTCTATCATAACGCCCAGCATCTTGGCATAGAACGGTCGTGTTTATCTTTGCCGTGAATCCAGATAAATACAAGAAGGAATCTAGCCGAATTTTATAATGTTTCCTTCGCCAGGAGTTTAGTTTCGTCACGAAACTCATGGCCTGATGCTCTTGTAATCGTTTACAAAAAACGGCCGCCCCCAACTCGATAGCCGCTTCATTATATGTCCACATACTTTGAGCACAAGAAAAATCCAAGGGCCAGCAGCCTCTAAAATAACTCAATAGAAAGGTTCTGTGAACTATAGGGAAGATTCCATCAAAGATTCCATCACTCATTGTGGAGTAGCCGTCATTAACTCTGCCATTACAACGGCCGCTGATAAGAGGACACAGTAAATCCACGTAAAAACATTCCACAGGCAAATAATTTCAAAATAAGGCCAAAAAATTATTCTGTAATCACCATAGGACGATTCCTAATACAAAACTTCGCTAACTATCGAACGATTGCTGAGATTTAGACAGATAAAAATAGCGTTCCAAAATCTCCGACACTACTTGAAAAAGTCGGGCTTTTCAAGTTTGTTTTCATTGGCTTGCGCATGCGTGTGGGGTGACATAGCCCCTTAGAGATACGGATGCAGGTATAAATAACAGGCATTGGTGAACAACGTAAATGGCCCTATGTATCACAAGTTTTCTGCTTAGGGCGCTTTCCATTTATCAGAACTGGCCGGCCGGACCATTACCGGACCAGTTATTTTGACAATGAAATCAGCTTTTTCCAGAGGTTTTTGCTGATGAACCATCTCCTTCCTGCACACTATTAAGGATTTGACTGATATAGCAGGATAGTTTTGATTAATAGTGAAATTCTCATTATTACAGGAAAGGTCTGGCCGGTCAGTTCTGACAAATGGAAAGCGCCTTTAGTATGGTCATTTTGAGATTCGCTTTACGTTCCCTTGAGGGAGCATCATTTGTAAAATCGGACCACAGGGGGCACGCAATCTGTGTCTATAACGGATGTTGTTAAAAACTGAATCATTTGATAATGCAATTCTAGCATTTTGATTGGCTTAGTCATTATGGTATATGAGCTATTACACCATGCTCTCCATATATGGTCGGTGTACGCGTCAGTTTAAAATTGGAAGTTAGCTGAGATTTTTTTTCGCGAAGGATAGAATGGCGCCCGAAGCAAATTCATTTCTTAGAATACTAGAAAATACAATTTCATCGGAAAAAAAACAACAAACAAAAACAAACAAAAACAAAAAAGCCACAAGAGCTTGTTTGAAAGTTTGTCGAAAAACAAATGAAAATACATGGAACTAATAAAAGTACCTTGACCAGCTACGAAAGAAGACAAGCGTTGTTTCTTCATGATCGCGAAGCCATTCGCCGAGTCACTCGCCGATAGATAACTGCGGCTTGTTTATCCGAAATCACAAGCAACCAGCAACAAATACAGGCTATACAGCCATTTACTACGGCAATCGAGGCGTCAGTTTTGCTTCTTTTCTCGCAAAACCAGCTTGTGGCTTCAAACAACTTCATAACAAGCGACGGTTTTTCTCCGCTGTTCTTACTTTTGTAACTGCACCGAAAATCCAAATTCACAGTAATTTCGACGGCTGTCACTTCAAAATTCTTTTTCTTCACATTATCTGACAGGTTTTTTTTAGCTGTCCTGCTGCGTAAAATCCTAGATTTTTCATTCATCCAGTCCAGGCGAATCCGTTCGCGCGTTGACAGTTTTGATAGACGTACGTGTTACATGTGAAGAGCGGAAGTCCCTTGTCTTTTCCGGTTTGTTCTAACAAAATTAAGTCGGGGAGATTCAACGAGATAACGCCCACAAAATCTCGTTGAATTAAACAATTATTCCACTCGCGCTTGTTGGATATGAGATGATTATAGCCAATTCGGCGCTACGCTCCTCGTTGGCTATTTATCATCTCATATCCAACGCGCCCTTACCTGTGGTATATCGTCGTCCTTTTGCCTCAAAAGCGGTTTTTAAGCGATTTTCAAGGATTTTGAGTTCACCGTTTACTGTTCCTAATAGTAGAAGGACAAGGGCGGAATCCATATTTTGAACGGCTCCAGAGCCGGAGCGATTTTTTCCCCCAGGAAATCAAATCGTTCTGCTCACAGTTTTTGAACCGTCAAAATGCATAGCAAGATTTATACTTGCCAGTCAGAAACCATCCCGCTGATTGCCTCTATCTGCCGTCCCGCTGATTGCCTTTATCTGATCCGATGTCGTTAACCAAAGTTAATGGTTAAATAATAACTGATTCAAAGACATCCTATCAAAAAGTTAAGGTAATTCAACGTTTAGTTAATATTTATTCATATACATACTTAGGAATATATCGCTATGGGTGAGGCAAAATCCAGTAAATTTACATTTACGGTTATACACACAGATTGTGTAGGCGCCCTGTGATCAGACAGGGCGGAATTTTGAACATACTCATGACATGAATTTGATTGTCGCAATTGAGAGTTAGCAAACCATCGCTAATAAGTAACGAAGCTAGGTGAACGCATTATTTAGAAGCGGCGGTACTGTAAATTTTCCTAATTTAATGAACTCCAGTGTATAAAATTAGTACAACGCAAGAAAAAAAAAATACGTTGAGACCTATAAGAACGGTAGTGAAAATAGCCACTTCTTCTTCTTTTTTTTTTTACATTGTAGTATTGATTCTTCTCAAAGCGTGGAGTAGACTTTCGCTGGTAGAGGCTGCAACCCGTTTGTCGCTTTCCTCCCTCCTGGGCTAATCCATAGAATGCTATCTCTGACTGGCGAACAAATTGTGTTCATGCAAATTACACGTACCGTTGCAAATCAAAAATTCGGCGTGAACACTTTGATTTGATTTTGACAGGTCATACAGTGTATGTGTATTCACCGATCGGATGCACTTGAACTCGTTTAGATGAAAACAGTTTGTCTCTATAATTTACAAAACCACGCTGCAAAAACATTTTCGATGATAGCACTAGTTATTTTAGTTTGTCCAACAAAAGAGATGTCGTGCGTACTAGTGATGGTAACTTCACTTTACGAAAGCAACGGTTGTGACCCTCTTTCCCTTTATTCATACTGCTGTCTGTTAACTTCTACAATATCTCGTATTTCTAGTAAAATACAGTACAGTTTCTACTTAAATACGACGGATAATAGCCGATTAAAATTTGGTACATTCAGTGAAGAATCGCCCACCAGAAGTTATGCCAGCCATCCTAATTCCTGAAGGACCGGTGGTCTTTACCTTCTAAGTATCGGTTAGAGTGACTTTACTGAAACCGTGAAACAGATACTAACAAATATTGCAATAGCGAGAGGTAAACAAAAGAAAACAATAGAATTAGTGCATAATAGTGCATCTAATACCTATTTCGCGGTTCAAGTAAATCACTCTATACCCTGCGAGCAGAGGCTACATTTTCGCGGTATGAGCTGGCGTGCGAAAAGTAGCTACTTTTCGCACGCCAGCTCATAGCACGAAAATGTAGCCTCTGCTCGCGGGGTAATCACTCTAATAAACGGGCGACAAAGTTTGCACGAGTTGTAACTTCTGTCTAAGGTGAAATATAAGCATAGATTTCACGCTTTCGAAATTTCTAGAGTTATGTAACAATCCTATTCAATTCATTAATAACTACAATTAAAATATCGAAACTGTGTATTTTGTTTTGTGCCTGAGGCGAAATAAAAGCAGCGTTATTCCATGAATCAAAAATCCTAGATTCCTTTTCTCCATTTGATTAAAAAAGAAAGAAATTCAATGGAAATACAATTTTCGCTCGAAACCGTAACTTCTAGTTCGTAATTTCCATTTGAAATTTTTCATAGTTGCAATATTCCAATAATTTAATTATAGGTCAAACTTAACTAATTTGCCAGTAATTCAAACGTTGTAGCCATAACAACAACGCCAACAATCCTGGACAAATAAATCTGTGCAGGGCTAATTCCATCGGCCACACTTTACCTCATTACATGTAATATATCCTGAGACAAATCACGCATTCATCACAAAAAACGCAACTCCTTCAAGTCAAAGAGCGAATAAAAAACGGAAGAAACAAATCCAGTCGTCTCGCTGAAATAATGATAATAATAATAATAATAATAATAATAATAATAATATCAATAATAATAATAATAATGGACTTTATTGGAAGACACAATTACTGAAAATTCCAGTAGTTTTCACCGTGTCAAGAGCCGGGCTACGGTAACTATCATGTTTCAATCAGGGGGCCACCCAACGCGTGTTTTCTGTAAAATATCTGTTCGGAGAAGCAAATATTGCCTAGAATTTTCTATTTCTTGAGGACGGCTAAAAGTTTCTAGATGAACGTTCCATGCATTCATGTACAATTTTCGAAGCTATATGTAATAAATTTCCTACAAATAAAAGTAAAAGTACTCTGGAAAGCCTAAAATTTGTTTTCAATGTATTTAGGAGGACACCGTCGTTGGTTGCCCCTGTTTAAGTCTTTATCAGTCGTATGTCAGCATGAAACCGATAAAGAGTAATAACAAATAAGTAAATAAATGAGTCAGTTATAGCAGCGCCGTTTCTTGTTCATAAATCCATGTATCATAAGAGGGCCGTCTGCCTGTGGTTTTATCACGTAGTTGAACGCATGGGGCTTCGGGAGTGACCTGCTCGTGCTCCATGTTCGTCACTTACAGATAACACTACACAGTTGTGCATAGTTTATTTTGACTATTTAGCTTTAACAAATGCACTTTTTCACTGACTTTAAAAAGTGATAAGTTTACTTAATTAAGCCAGGTTGGATAACGCCGAGCCTTGATGGTTATTTTTTACCGCGTAAACTCTCCTTCTCAAAGCACTGCTAATCAAATTGACTTCGCACAGGATATGTACTCCATTGGCCAGTCCCCACCTCCTCTTGACTCCAGCCAAGATTACCACTTAGTAATGGCAACCGAAGAAGAAGGTCACACCTTCTTACACTTTCAACGAGCTGCTAACACCGGCGATGCAAAAGACATCCAGTTCACGGTAATATTATTTTAGCTTCTGTAATTATATGACAACAGTACCAATAACAATAACTGCGTGCATGCGATTTAGATTTAGTAAGTCACGTAGTTTTCAGTCATTCTACTCTCTCTCAGTATTACAGCAAAAATGTAAGCGAACGTTTGTTTTTTTAGGATGACGCAGAAGTATTTTTTGTTTGGGCGCTACACTCTTCATTTGATGCAACCAACAGTTCTGTTTATCCATTTCATGAGAGGAAAGGCTCAAGTGAGTTTAAGCAACTGATTCAAACAGGTGGTGCTTTTATAACTCAGTCAATGGAATCTGAGGCGACTCCAGACTCTGTTACACTAGATCCAGTTTGTACCTTGCCTTCTGCGGACGACTGTGAATTGAAACAGAAACCACCACACCGAAGAGCCTCTGATACAAATTTCATATCAGTCAGTCAAATAGACCGTAACCAGGAAGAAGTTGAAGAAATCCATTACTCGACAGGAAAGGATCTGTTAACCCATTCGTCAAACAGCAACTCAGGCTTAGATGAAATTTCTCTACAAGAAAAGACCACACTTGGTGATGACAATGGGACAGCAGAAGATAAAATCAAGTTGAGAAGCAAAACTGAAGGTGATCTTTTGACTGATCCGGTGCAGATTTTAACATTATCACTGTTTAATTGATCTTTTGTTAATTTTCGGATCTTTTTTCTCGAATTGAGAACCATTGAGTCTACCAATTAAGAAAAAATGTTGCCATAAATCTTGAGGCTGAAATGTTATTGGAAATGATAAAATTAGACCTTCATCAAGAGAGAATGATCTCTTTTTCTCTTACCTTCATTT